TGGCTGTATCTAGCTACATGGGAGGCTGGGAAATGTACATTTTCAGATGGGTGGCAACATACCCAGTTAAAAACAAGAGTTATGTTACTGAGGGGGAAGAGGGGCTATGGATGTTGCATGAACAACTATCTGTCTTCCAGAGTCACTCAGTTGGGAAATGGTGGGGCCAAGATTCACATCTAACCAGTGCCAAAAGGCCACCACACCCTTCTTCCCAAACCCATATTCCTTTGCCGCACCGCCTGTCTCCCAGGGATGTGGTACTTAGGGAAGCAGAAGGGAACAGGAGCTTTGTGGGGAAGGTGAGGGCAGAGGCAGCAGCACTGTAAAGCTTGACTACCTGGGGAGCACCTCTACTTTTCCATGGCACCTTCCCTTCCTCCTCTCTAGAGCCCAGAGCTTCCCTAAGAGCCCCAGGTTCTTTGTTATGGCGCTCTGATGGCAGTGACAATGAGATGGGTGCAGCTTTTCCCAGGTCATTGCTCTAAGTTGAGGACTCACTAGATTTCTGTTTCCTCTTGTTCTGCCGTGTTGGATAAATAGTTGTGGGTGGTCACAGAAGCTTCTTGCCGGAAAACATTACAAAACTCTTCCAAAGAATGAGCCTGTGCCTTTGATGGAGGGTTGGGGCCCACTTCTGAGATTCCCACTGATTCCACGGTTCTGTGAACTTTTCCATCTGGTGCCTTGGCCCAACTCTGTGTGTCTCAGCAGGAGAATGGTAACGGGAAGAATGTCCTTATTAGAGAGGCTGAGCCATCACTGGAATTTTACACCAGAACTGTAAATGCTCACAGTGGAAACAAACCCAGTGGGACGCTGAAAAGTGAAAGCTGACACTGGAAATCACCAATGTCAACAGAGTCACTTTGGGGAAATAGAGTGGTGATGGGGAAGTTTAACAAGGAGAAAGAGCCTTTAGGGCCAAAGCAAGTATCCAGAGGCTGTTTATGTGAGGTTCTGAAAGACTGAGCTCTGAATGTACTCGGGGAAGCCCAAAGGTCTGCACTTGTCCCATAACTGGAAATTCCAGTGGGAAGGGACTGATGAACGTGCTCGGGAGGGAGACCATGACCTTGTTATTCCTCCTACCAGAAATCTCCTGGGTGCCCATGAGCAAGCTGGGGACAGCTTGGCACCAGAGACAGGCATATGGAAGAGGCAACCACGGAGAATGCATTTCAAGAGGGGCCACTGTTGCACCTGATTATGTGACTTTATCAGGAGTTACCTTTATCCTGGGGGTTCCAGGGTTTAACATTATAACCATATCACACAGCTTGCTGTAATAACTTAATACCATACTTACAGAGAATTTTGCTGTGAAAGGACGCCAGGAGTTACATGGTCCAAATCTCTCATTTTCAGTTGAGGAAACTAAGGCCCAGGGATGGTGACTGTCTAGCTGAGGTGGCAGATTAACTGGTGACAATACCAAGATTTGTACTAGATCTCCTGATTACCAGACCCATACTGTCCTGTTCTGCCACTTACTAACAGGCCCGCTAAGAAATCACAGAAAGGGCTGATTTGGATGTGTTCTGCTCCTAAGCACGTCACATGTCTAGAGGGAGAGCATGGTAGAGGGGAAGGGGCAGTGAGTGGGGACTTAGCAGTCCTGGCTTCCACTCCTGGATCTGTCCCTGACCTGCTGGGTGACTGTATCAGTTTCCTGGGGTGGCCATAACAAATTTCCATAAACTGGGTGGTTTAAAACAACAGAAATTTATTTGCTCCTAGTTCTGGAGGCCAGGAAGACCAAAACTAAGGTGCTGGCAGGGTTGGTTCCCTCTGTAAGCTCCAAGGGGAATCTGCTACCGTGCCTTTCTTCTAGCTTCTGGTGGCTGCCAGCAATCCTTGGCGTGCCTTGTCTTGTAGACGCATCACTCCAATCTCTGCCTCTGTCTTCACGTGATCTTCCCCAAGTGGCAAAACTCCCTCTGCCTTTTTCTTATAAGGACACTTGTCATTGGATTTAGGGTTTACCCAGGTAGTCCAGGATAATCTCATCTCAAGATTCTTAAATTAATTACATCCACAAAGACCCTTTTTCCAAATAAGGTCACATTCACAGGTTCTAAGTGTTAGGGCCTGGACATATCTTTTTAGGGGCCACTTTTCAACCCACCACAAGGATCCTGGGTATGCCCTTCCGCTTTCTGCTCCTCAGCTTTCCTATGTGTAAACAGTGAAGATGGCAAGAGTCCACTGACTTGCTTCTATACGTGTTTGCTTGTCTTCATGGATACTGATGGACCCCAGAACACAGGCATCGACCCAGCAGCCTGTGCCATGCTGACACGGTCCCCAGCAGTCACATACCCCGCAAAATCAAATTCAAGAACTATTTCATGACTTTCTAGAACTTCCTTTAGCCATATATTCTTGAAGATTGGTTGACGAAGTTGGCTTGCGGTCAGACCACAAATACGAATGCCTTATCAACTCTGGGCCCTACACCCTGGGGAGAGAGCACTCAACACGAGGAAGTGCAGAGCATGGGCTGAGCATGGGAAGGGGCTTGATGAACACAACCTGTGCAGGGCAAGGACCAGGGGGAGGTGAGTGACGCCCTCCCTCCAGGGGCAAAATGGAAGAAGGAGCCAAAACCCTCAGTAATCAAGATTAAAAAATCAAAACTAACGCAAAAAAAAAAAAAAAGAATCCACGATGAGCAAAATTTTAAATAAAGACAAGATGTGTTCTTGTAATTATGTGACTCAAATCAGTTCACCCTAATCTTGGTTTGTGGATCTTGTCTTTATTTAAAATTTTGATATTTTGTTCATCATGGATTTTTCCATTGAGGTCTTTGGCACCCCCTTAAATTTTGCCCTTAGTCCTGGCCCTGGAACTGTTAAGTTACAACTGGAGGGATGGGCCCTATAGGGACAAGGGATGGGGACCAGTGGGGAAAATTAGGGAACAAGTAGTGATTCCTGTGCTACTGGAAGGATCTGAGAGTCTGATGAGAGAGGCTGGTCTACATGACCTCTAGGAGAGCCCTAAACCCTCTGAGTCCAAGAGGCAATGAGTTTCAGATTTCCCCGTGTGACTTCAATTATCTTTTGACCTCGAGATAATATAAGAAATGCTGCCTCTTGTCTCAAAGACTGTGGGACAGGGACTAGGTCGCCTGGAATCTCAGAAGCTCCCCCAAGCTGGGAGTCTGCCTGGCTCTGCTCTGATGGTACTGCTCCATCCTGGGAAGCCCAGGAGTGGGTGGCCCACACTGTGAGACGAAATGAACAGCCCCAGGAATAGCCCCAAGGTGTCCATTCATGGGCACAGTGATATGGGGGTGAGATCAGCCTCCTCACCAGGCCCAAATTTAGAAATTAAAAATTAAAGAGGAAAGTCAGTGACCTGGGAGATGTTATCAAGTCAAAACATTTACTCTGAAAAAACACTACAAAAAATGATCTTCCCAAAATGCATTCCTGTGCACATGCTCACATCTGTGCATGGCTCGCCCACCCCGGGGAACACTCACGCTCCTTGGAACGACATTTGAGGCCCTTGGGGCGTCTCATGGCCCTTACCCCCACTTAGCTTCACAGATCTCATGTGTAATCATTTACATCTTTGGTCTTCCTTAAGTCTCTCATTTTAATTATTATACTGTCTGCCTGTACAGAATTTTAGTTTTTGTATTTTCCTCAAACTTTATACTATTTTTAAAGTTTAGGGTATCCCTGGACCCAAGTATCTTCTAATAAACTGTAAACTTCAACAACTTTAAAAATAATACCTACTGAAATAAAAATGAGTTGTTTCTTCTCATTAGTCAGCATCTCCAAAAACTTCATATTGTCATTGATTTTGGTATGAAAATATTTCTTTCAACATTTTCTACCCAAAGTGTTTTTCCAGGATCTCTCAGGTGCCACGTGATCTACAGAGCTGCTTATAAAATGTGTCCTAATGATTTGCCCTTTTTGGACAAATCAATAAGTCATTCTTGTAGTGTTGGCTCTGACTGAGATTAAATAATGGATAAAAATAATATATATATTTTTTACTTTACTATGAAGTTGATCCTTTAAATGAAGTTGAAGGTTGGTAGAGAATTTAAAAATCTGAGATCAGAGGAGACAGAAAAGAATCATGTGCCCTGCTGTACTGAACTTTGGCTGGTGGTTAGAATTGAGAGATGGATGTTGCCATCTTCACTGGGACTGCCACCACCTGATTCTTGATAATGTTTTCACTGATAGAGAATAGTGTACTTTGGAAATACTTTTACATGCACCATACTACCTGTTCTTTCACAGCTCTATGAGATAAGCAGGCCAGGGGTTAGTCATCCCTAGTGGGAACATCCCTAGTGAAGGCCTGAGGACCTAAGCACCCTGCCAAGGTCCTCCTCCTAGTTATGACAGCACAAGATGTCAGGTGCCATGCCAGCCACATTGCACAATCCGCCATTCAGCCCACCTTTTGACCCCGGAGGAAGATATTTTCACCACCACTCTACAGATGAAGAAACAGCGGCTCAGAGAACTCAAGCTTAAGGTCACACAGCTGGTAAGTGGCAAAACTGGGGTTTGGACCAATCTTTCTGGTCTTTAGTACATGTTTCCCCAAGTCTACCTGTGGGGTCGTTTGTCTCCTCCACGCTGACAGGAGCATCAGTGAGACTGAGAAATGACATTCCAGGTCAGAGGGGCACAGGATGAAATAGTGGCCTCGTCTGAAAGTCAGTGCCTGCAGTTGGTGCCATACTAGTCACGACTCCACCCCTTACGCATACACTATGTTACGTGCTTACAAAGCACCCTTACCTCATTTGATTCCCACAATTCCCTAGAAGGCCATGCAGTAGAGAGCTGGATATCCTCATTTAACAGATAAGCGAGGCTCAGAGAGGTCACATGCTTTGCTCAAAATCACACAGCAAAGGCCAGAACAAGATCTAGGTGCTTTTTGCCAACATCATTGGACAGCATGATTAAGGGAGATGGGCTTGGGGGCTGAAATGAGCTGGCCAAGGCACCGACCTTTCCTGAGATGGTCTTGATCTGCTTGGAGCTCAGAGGCTCGAAGTCCACGCCGATGTAGCCCTCCATGGCAGCAAGCAGATTCTTCCGGAGACAACGGGATGAGTTGGCTTCTGTGTGCACCTGCTCCCACCAGGAAGGCTCATACCAGCCCGGGATGATCCATTGGTATTTGCTACCGTACATATTCTCCTCATATGCCTGCAACAGATGGGTTGACGATGAAGGCACCAAGAGACAAACATTTGTTCAAAGCTTTGTACCCTGTGAGAAAGGTGGAGGGGACTCAAGGTTCCTCGTACTAGAGGATTTGTTAATTTTTCTATTACTTGCTTGGTCTCCTCCTCATTATCTCTCAAGGGATACAAGGTAGTTTATAGGAAACATGTATATTAAAATAATAAAACACTGAATAAAATAAAAACATAAGTGCCTGGGAAAATATAGACTATAATATGCTTATTGGAGGTAAAGGGAACAGAACATAGACAAGTCCACCAAAGGTTCCAACACTATAGATATAAGCTACATATTTCACCATGAACTTCCTGGCAGCCCAAGAGAAAAGGGCAACAATATTAATTGCATAGCTCTTATTTTCACTAAGGAGAAAACATACCAGTTCTTCAGGGACACAAAATGTTTTCTAGGCTTTAATCCCTAAACAAAATGCCTCATATGGAGGTCACTGTCAAATTAGCTAGCATGGTATCAACACCATCCCTACAACAAACAGATTTCATAAGGCTATTTTTGTATAGATCTTTACTAAAAGCTGAGATCATAACCTTAAAATATAATCTAGGGCGGAGCAATTTTGCAAGGGGCCAAGAAAATTTAATGTAAGCATACAACTTATATAAGATGTCACTTGGCAAACTGAACATCTCTCTAAATCTTTACCCAAAGCATGGTGTACATAAATCCAGATCCCCCCAAAAAAGTCCCTCATATTTATATACTTTACACACATCTTATTTGTCATTCATGTCCACCCTTTGAGATGATCTAGGCAGAGTTTATTATCCTCATTTTAGAGATGAGGAAACTGGAAACCAGAGAGGGAAAGTCACTTTTCCAAGGTCCACAGTCTGGAACCTAGGTCTGTCTACTCTTACGCTGCAAAGCCACACTGCCTGCCTCCCATTTAAACAAAAAGTTGTCAGACTGTTCTAATATACCCCCATTTGGCTTTAATTCTTCCTGTGATGATTTTTTATCTGGAAAAGCATGCTTTTTGATAGCTTAGATGCACCCAGAAAATCCCAATTTGTAGGTATGTCACATTCCATCAGAGTTGGGTCCAGAATGGAGTAGAGCTCACATTCCTATCAGTAATCAAAACACCCAGAAGTGACTACAGAGAGCAGTGGTGTATGTAATGCTCTCTGTGCACTGTGATGAACTGTATACATTAAAAAATGTGAACCTTAAACGATCCAGCAATTTGTTCCTAGGGAGCCACCTATGTTAGTAGGACATGTTGGGAAACAATTCATGTCACACCCCTTTATGTTCCTTGGCTTAGAACAGAGACAGCATAGAGGCCAGGAGGGTGTGGAGAAAGAAGCCTGCAACATTGCTCTGGATGCCAGGGAGAGTTTGGCTGCCCTCCACTTAGGCTCCAGCATGCTAATCGATGGTCTGCCCAGAAAGGGTGGGCCAGAGCCCTTTATATTTGTGTATATTAGAGAATAGTTACTGTTGAGTCTAAGCGTTAGAGGTGTGTTCCTTTCATTCCTACATCTGAGGAGGCAACTCTTCTAAAACTCTCTCAACACCTGAAAAAGCCCAGCCTGCAGTGTGGAGCATCTCACTGGGGTAAGTGTGAATTAGAATATTTGTTCCTTAGCTTAAGCTCAGATTCCATCTCTATGGCCTCTGTCCATTGATTCAGTGAAGCCACCGGAGATTAAACTGAAATTGTTTCATAAGAGAGCCCTTCAACTATCTCAAGGTAATGATCACATCGCCTCTTCTCTAGACTCCTCTAACGATATGGGACTTTCACCTCCCTCATTCTAGACACTGTATTTCTCACAATGCAGCCTCAGATCATAGTCATTTTTTCCAGCAACTACATTGTAATGTTGCCCCAATCAAAACTGTTGTAGAAAAAACACAGAGAGCCCTAATATTACAATTATATAACAAAACCCCAGTTCAACAAAACTGGCTGGGGGCTAGACCTTTGAACAAAAGGGTCATCCTAATGACCCCAGGTCATTTAATCAATGGCAGAACCTGTGAGACTTCACAACTCTCATCTTTCACTGGCAGGGAGGAACTCACATATATTGAGCCCCTATTATGTGCTAGGCCATTTATATACATTATCTTATTTTATTCTCACAACAACGCTATGAGTTATGTGCTATTATCTCTATCTTATAGATGAAGACATTGAGGCTCAGAGATTGAGGAATTCGCTCAAACACATTCAGCTAAGTCAAGGGGACAAGATTCAAAGTCTGTTTTTTTAAGTTTCTCTCTTTTCTTAGCAAAACAAACAAAGTAAAACTTTCTGGAAGTTTTCTCAGTCTTAAAAGGTTGAGGCAAGATAGTGCCACTTATTACGAATGTATGGTAAAGTAAGCGACAACAGATACTGAGTGAGGACATGAGGAGGTCTTCTGATCAGATGCAAAGGCAGATTTGCATTATTCTCTGAGACCAAAGACTGTGTGATAATTTAGAGGCAGCATGGAGCAGGAAGTCAGGAGCCTCCCAGGGATCTGCTGTGATAGCTGTCTGACCTGCCATTGTTCTGTTAGGTGCTCCTTGTGAGTGAATTTTCCAGAAAACAGAAGCTCAGTCCATTTGAATGACAACACATTTTGTTTAGAATATTAGTCAATTTTGATGAAGATAAAATTTTTTCTACTGATCTTTTGAAAAAAAAAGAAAAAAGACTATAGTCAAGTAGCACTAGATTCTCTGCCACATACCAGCTGGGTAACTCTGGCACACAGCTCCTTGGGCCTTGCTTTTCTCATCTATAGCCTGTGGAAAGCAAAGCCCATCTCACTGGGTTGGTGTAGGAATTAAATGAGGTAATATATGAACAAAAAACCAACATAATCAAAAAATGGGCAGAAGATCTAAATAGACATTTCTGCAAAGAAGACATACAGATGGCCAACAGACACACGAAAAGATACTCAACATCGCTAATTATTAGAGAAATGAAAATCAAATTTACAGTGAGATATCACCTCACACTGGTTAGAATGGCCATCATTAAAAAGTCTAGAAATAGGGCTTCCCTGGTGGTGCAGTGGTTGAGAGTCCACCTGCCGATGCAGGGGACGCGGGTTCATGCCCCGGTCCGGGAAGATCCCACATGCCACGGAGCAGCTGGGCCCGTGAGCCATGGCCGCTGAGACTGCGTGTCCGGAGCCTGTGCTCCACAATGGGAGAGGCCACGACAGTGAGAGGCCCACGTACCGCAAAAAAAAAAAAAAAAAAGTCTAGAAATAATAAATGCTGGAGAGGGTGTGGAGAAAATGGAACCCTCCTACACTGTTGGTGGGAATGTAAATTGGTGCAGCCACTATGGAAAACAGTATGGAGGTTCCTTAAGAAACTAAAAATAGAGTTGCCATATGATCTGCAATCCCACTCCTGGGCATATATCTGGAGAAAAATCTAATTTGAAAAGATACATGCATCCCTATGCTCACAGCAGCACTATTTACAATAGCCAAGACATGGAAGCAACCTAAATGTCCATCGACAGATGAATGGATAAAGAAGAAGTGATACATATATACAGTGGAATACTGCTCAGCCATAAAAAAGAATGAAATAATGCCATTTGCAGCAACATGGATGGACCTAGAGATTATCATACTAAGTGAAATAAGTCAGACAAAGACAAATACTATGATATCATTTATATGTGGAATCTGAAACATGACACAAATGAACTTATTTACAAAACAGAAACAGACTCACAGACATAGAAAATAAACTTATGGTGTCCAAAGGGGAAAGGGGGGGAGGGATAAATTAGGAGTTTGGGATTAGCAGATATCAATTACTATATATAAAATAGATAAACAACAAGATCCTACTGTATGGCACAGGGAACTATATTCAATATCCTGTAATAAACCACAATGGAAAAGAATATGAAAAAGAATATATATCGGAATCACTTTTCTGTACACCAGAAAGTAACACAACTTTGTAAATCAACTATACTTCAATAAAAAAGAAATAATAAATGAGGTAATATGTGTACCATGCCTGGCCAACACTACGTGCGGGAACATTGTAGCTGCTCCTTCTCATGCCACTCTCTTTTCCAGAACTCATGGTTTTATTCTGAAAATTAGCCACTCCTATGGGCCATGCACAGTGATACTTTTGGGCATGGCCCAAACACCAAATGGCCCCAGACTATTGTTCTTGGAGTTTCTGATCTACTTTTTTTTTTTTTTTTTTTTTGGTACGAGGGCCTCTCACTGTTGTGGCCTCTCCCGTTGCAGAGCACAGACTCCGGACGCACAGGCTCAGCGGCCATGGCTCACGGGCCCAGCCGCTCCGCGGCATGTGGGATCTTCCCGGACCGGGGCATGAACCCGTGTACCCTGCATCGGCAGGCGGACTCTCAACCACTGCGCCACCAGGGAAGCCCTCTGATCTACTTTTGATGGCTTTGTCTCCTTTCTAGTTGTCAGGTCTAGGCTGTCACTTTCACTGTCATTAAATCCCTCTCCTTACTCTGAATTTGCTGCTTTTAAACTGCTATGGAAAGCAGGGAGTGTTAAACATACGTGCAGAAAAAAGTACACAGCACAGGCTTTGAGTGAGGGTCTAAAAGGCTCTCCTACAAGGGAGGTAGACTGGGCTTAAATATAGCATACAGTGTCTAAAGCAACTGCAGAGAGGCTTCTGGGCCTCCATTCTGGTATTCCCACGTTCAGAAGGGCTGAGATTGTTGGACATGTGAGCCTTAAGAAGCTGCTGGTATCTTTGTCTGTCTCCTTTGCCAAATAGGGAGTTCCTGGAGGGTGGTGTCTGCTCTTTCCAGGATCCCCAGTGCTTAGCACAGTGCCTGGTGTACAGAGGGCACCCAATAAATGGTTGTAGAGTGACTGACTGAACACATTTTCAGTTTACTTCGTTACCTTGGTTTTCACTGTTTTTGTCTCTAGTAGGAATGTGGTCTCAGGAACTGTGGCCACCAAATGGGCCCTACCAGGTGATGATGGGCAGTCTTGAGCTCATGTTCTTCAGTCCCATGAACGACTCTGTTCTCTTTAGCCACAGACAGGTAGCCATGATGTAATTTAAAAATCCAATTTCCTCTTTTTATTGTTTCCTTTTGCCTCCTCACTTCCTCAGGCAAGAAGGATATTTCCCTTTTATAGGCATTTCATAACCATAATAGTAATAAATCCTCACATCAGTAAAGCAGTTAACAGTTGGGATCACAGTCACCCTGCGGTGGCCTTGTTTAAGCCCCTCGACAATCCTATGAGGCAAATAAGACAGGGGTTGTCGCTTCCATTTTAGAGGTGAGGCAGCCGGGGGCTGGAGTTGTAAAGTGGCCTGCTTGAGGTCACACAGCTGGCAGAACTAAAACTAGAACCCAGGTCAGAGTGCTTGAGAATCTAGAATAGACCACCAAGGAGGGAGGAGAAGACAAAAGCGACAGGCCATGCTCGTCCTTTGCTGGAACTGAAATGAACATTTTGCCACAGGGCTATAAATAGTCCTTGCATTTGCTAGAGACTACTCTCCCCTTGGGTGGCAGGTCCAATCTCAAGAACATGCAGGGGCTTCCCTGGTGGCGCAGTGGCTGAGAGTCCGCCTGCTGATGCAGGAGACACGGGTTCGTGCCCCGGTCCGGGAAGATCCCACATGCCGCGGAGCGGCTGGGCCCGTGAGCCATGGCCGCTGAGCCTGCGCGTCCGGAGCCTGTGCTCCGCAACAGGAGAGGCCACAACAGTGAGAGGCCCACGTACTGCAAAAAAACCAAAACCAAAACCAAAAAGAACATGCAGCAACACGCTGCAAAGTTTGCACTGCAGCATTTGGATGGCAAAGATGCGGTTGTCTCCATCCCATTGTGCTCTGACCCTGACATGGGTGGAGAGGTTCTCTCCCAGGGTCTCTGCTCCTAGCAGCCCCTCCCTCCGTCACACGCCAGAGTTTTGATTCAGTGTGAGGACACTGAGAAGACTCTCCTCAGGACCTTCCAGGCCTGCCAGAAGAACTCCTTCCTAACCAGATAAGACTGACAGTCCTGACAGGCAGATCCATCTGACGGTCTGACACACGGAATAAACCCCCAACCAAAAACTTCTGAGAAACCACTCAGTGAATAAAGCAGCCAGCAAAGACTCTAAGAAAAAGTCCATCTGAAGATACCCAAAGTCCAAGAGGAAGAAGAAAGTGAGATGAGGAGGTGGGATGATGTCCCATGCTGTGTAGAAGGCAAGCAGCCTGGGGCTTTGGGTCAAGAGGAAGACAGCCATGCCGTCTGTTCTGAAATAGAAACCACGCTGCTGGAAATGCCACTCAGAAAATAACCACAGTGCACGGCATGGAGGGAAATCACAGCCACGCCTCAGCTTAGGGTTTGGCTCAAATCAGAACAGGAGGGGACTTCCCTGGTGGTCCAGTGGGTAAGACTCTGTGCTCCCAATGCAGGGGGCCCAGGTTCGATTGCTGGTTGGGGAACTAGATCCCGGATGCATGCCGCACCTAAGAAGTCCACATGCCACAACTAAGAGCCTGCATGCTGCAACTAAAAGATCCTGCGTGCTGCAACTAAGACCCAGTGAAGCCAAGATAAATAAAGAAATAAATACTAAAAAGAAATGAAAAAAATAGGAGATCTGTCTGCATTTTGTGCAAACAGGAGATGGCCAGTGCTCAGTGTGGCAACTTCACAGATCATTTTTATTAATTTACTTTTCCTCAATTGATCGACAATCACCCACCATGTGCCAGCTGTTTGCAAGGTCTTGGGGATATGTAGGGGGCTTCCCTGGTGGCGCAGTGGTTGAGAATCTGCCTGCTAATGCAGGGGACACGGGTTCGAGCCCTGGTCTGGGAAGATCCCACATGCCGCGGAGCAACTAGGCCCGTGAGCCACAACTACTGAGCCTGCGCGTCTGGAGCCTGTGCTCCGCAACAAGAGAGGCTGCGATAGTGAGAGGCCCGCGCACCGTGATGAAGAGTGGCCCCGGCTTGCCACAACTAGAGAAAGCCCTCGCACAGAAACGAAGACCCAACACAGCCAAAAATCAATAAATAAACAAATTTGGGTTTTTTTTTTTTTAAAAAAAAAAACAAAAAACCCAGCTTCTTCTCTAAAAAGTTATGTCTTCTAATTGGAGCATTATTTTCCTTTTCTAAATGGGCCATTTCTGGACCTTAGATGGTAACATGCAAAGTATTATGACTTTTGAAATAAAATGTATTAAATCAATTTGCTCCATTTGTTTCAATTTTTCTCATGCTCCTCCTTAGATTTTCATATGGAAATACTCCTTAACTACCCTTAACTGAGACGCAGGATGCTTAACACAATCGAGGAAAGTCCATCAGTTAGTAAATTCGTCAGCCCAGTGGTGGTCCATTCCATCCTCAGAGACCTTACATAAACAAATAAAAAAAGGTTGCTGACATTTGCTGAGGGCTCACTGTATGTCAGCCACTATGCAAGGTGTTTTTGCTCATTTAAGCTCCACGACAATCCTATGAGACAGGTGTTATTATTATCCTCACTTTACAGATGAGAAAACTGAGGTTCAGAAAGTGTCAACAAGCCCAAATTCAGTTACTAAGCTGCAGACCAGTAGTTCAAGCCCAAGCAGACTGACTCCGGAGCACTAAGCTTCACGCAGGGTCCCCTGAAATGTCAGCCTATAGCTTCTCCTTCCTCCCTGCTATTTTGAAAGGTGATCAGGCGGTTCCCGCTTTGCTCCTGAGCCTTCATGAGGAAATATCCCTGGGTGACTATGGTTTCCGCTCACTGCTCTCTCCTTACTCCTGGCCTTTTTTCAGTTTCTGCATCTCTCCTGAAATGGGGCACCAGGAGCTGAGCAGGATACCCCAGGTGGGGTCTCTCCAGCAGAGAGCAGAGGGATGACCCGCCCTAGTTGTGGACGTGCAGCATGAGGTCACCTCGGCTCCCTGGAAGCTGTGCTCACACTGGTTACTCATGGTAACCTTGAGGTCAACTGAGACTCCAAAGTCTCTTTTGTTCTAAACGCACAGTACTCCTCAGCTATACCTCTATCATCTTGGACATAGGCAGCCCAATTTGTTCTAATATAACCTTATATTAGGACTATTAGATTTAGTCTTCCTGGATTCAATCAAACATTCCAGCTTGTTAAGGTTCTTTGCACCCTGGCTATCTTCCAACATATTTCACAACTTCTAAAATTCCTATAAGCCTATTTTTATAATCTCATCCAAGTTACTGAAAAAAGGTCAAAGAAAACAGAGGCCTGTGGCCCATCACTAGAGACCGCACCTAGAATAACCTCAGTCTAAGAGGAGGAGCTTATTGGGTAGACAATTCATGTAACTAGGCTCTCATTCTGTTGATTTCTCTCCTGACCCTGAGGTGGAGGAGGGTGAGCCAGGGCATCAGAATGGAAAGACATAGTCCCTGTGTTAGAACTCTTACATATGCTCAGGTTAGAATATCATGTGGAGAGGGCTTCCCTGGTGGCGCAGTGGTTGAGAGTCCACCTGCTGATGCAGGGGACACGGGTTCGTGCCCCAGTCCAGGAAGATCCCACATGCCGCGGAGTGGCTAGGCCTGTGAGCCATGGCCACTGAGCCTGTGCTCTGCAACGGGAGAGGCCACAACAGTGAGAGGCCCACGTACCACAAAAAAAAAAAAAAAAAAAAAAAAGAATATCATGTGGAGAAAAGAGGATTTGATTGGGAATCAGGTGAATGGGGATGGAGCCCTGGTTCTGCCATAAAACAACCCTTGGACAAGCTTCTCCACCTCTCTAGCCTTCTAGCTCCTCATCTGTAACAAGGGTACAATAGTAGGGTACAATAAAGCAAGGGTAACAATAGTAGCTTCACATGGTTATTGGAAAGATTAAGTGAGATAAGGTTTAAGAATGTACTTTGTCACCTATCACACACCAGACAATTAAAAGGATTCAGTGGTAGATACTGAACAGTTGACGGTCTGTGCTAAACCTGAGTCTCTGAGCCCTGCTTACAGGGCAGGAAGGGGTCTGAGGCCTCCCGGTCTCGCCCTGGAATCTGGTGTCTCCCTCTGTGTGGTGCACACAGCACTGCTCCATTAAGCAAGGCTGGGTGGAGGAGACTTAAAACTAGCTGGCAGCGCTGAAGCAATGGTAAGACAGTGGGTTTGGTAAACTGAGGTTCCTGGTTCCTCCTACAACTGCACTGTTCTGAGTCCTGGGGTTTTAGCTCCCCGGAAAGATGAAAGAGCAGTGAGAATAACACTTCTGCTTCCAACACCCCAGACTCCGGTCCACTCAAGGACCAGGCAGTGACACTGAGTACAAGAAAACGCTTCGTGGACCTCCCCAAAGACATCCATGACACAACCAAAGTGTTACTTACACAACAGAACACTTTTGCTGCCATATTCTGGTCAAACTGGCCAAGGATGATCCGCACGTCGTTGCCCTGTGGACAGAAGGACACGATGTGAAGGTGAGCGTGTGATCGGCACAGCCCAGAGGGCTCGAGGCAGCGGGCAGGGATCATTCACATGCCCCAGGCTCCCCAGCAAGAGCTCTGCCTGAGGGGGTGGGCAGGGCAAAACCTCACCCACCAGCCCAGCCGAGCCTGGATCTATGGCTCTCTCTGGGCCCAGCTTTCCCTCAGCTACTGCTGTTGGCCCTGCGTGGTCTCGTGGGTAAACCCTGGGGCTGGAGGCTAAAGGCTCTGAAGAGCCTCATTGTCTCCCCTGCTCTCCTCCAACAAGGGCAGGCAAACGCTCCGGGGCACTGAGACAGCGTCTGCTCTCCGTCCTTACTCTACACATACGGAAACTGAGGCCAGAGGAGAGAAAGTAATTTCTAAGGTCCCCAGGGGAGTTGGCAGCGGAAACAAGTTCCCAGCCAACACCCCCTCCCCCTCTAGTATTCTAGACTTTTCCACCTTTCTCGAGTCCACAGAGCTTCCCAATTAAGAAGTTTCAGAGTCTCTTTGAGTTCTCAGCTTTGTTCAAATCTCAGCTCCACTTGGGTGGCCTCAAGTGGCTCCTTTTCCCATCTTAGCCTCAATTTCCTCATCTGCAAAATGCAGATAATGGCAGTACTTAGAGGGCTGCTGAGAGGACTAAATGAGATAATCCTCATAGAGTGCTTAACATAGTTCCTGGCACAGAGTAAACACCCAGCTAGAATTAGTGTCTTATAACCTTCTCCCAACCTATTCTTCTCCCTTTATTGCAAAGGAAAATCTATATTCAAAAGCTCTATAAATGGTTACTTATTATCTTAATATCTCAATATGGTTAATAGGTATATATTGTACCATGGGTCCTATCACTCATTTATTCATTCAACAAACATTTACTGAGTGTCTGCCTGAGGCTCCCTCCTGGGTCAGGGTAAGGGGTTCTTGGTTGCTTTCTAGGGGAAGGAACCCTGCCCTGCCCCCATATAGAACAGGCAGAAGGAGGATGTACAGGTAGCCTCCAGGAGACCAGCCGGGCCCCGGCCCACACGCTTGCTCCATCCCAGTCCTGCCCTCCGCACTGACACTCAGTCCTGCAGGTGATGTTACCTTGCTGCCATTTACCCCGCCCTTTCCAGCAAGCCTCAAGGCTCTCTGATGCATAAAGAAGAGAAACATCCCTTTAAAGATCAGTTTTTAGCATCTTTCAAAATTGGAAAGTGCTGACTGGGAGGCCATTTTACTCATCATGTACTTTAGCAAAATAAAAAAGACTTGGATTCTAAAATCACCCTTCGTTTGCAAGCAAGAATGGAAAGAAGAAAAAAAAATTTCCTCTGAAAGGACTTTGAAAGATCATTAACAGAGCAGTTGAAGGAAGGCAAGCCTTTGTCATCACCATGGCTGCAATGCTATAGAAAGTTCTAAGCTGCTTCTGTTCTGTGGCCGTACTCCCGGGCACACTCCAGGGTCTTTCTGCTTGTTTGTCGAATTTTTTATAGCATTTCTTGCTGCTAACAGTATTCACCTACCCATATCCATATCCATATCCATCCAGCAAACATTTATGGAGCATCTACTTTGTGCCAAGCCCTGTGCTGCTAAACACGGTATAGTAGAAACAGCTTATTGGATTTTGGAGTCAGAGAGACCTGGGTTCACATCCCAGCTCCGGCACTGACCAGCTACATGACCCTGGGTCTTAATGTCCTGGAGCCTCAATCTCCTTATCTCTGAAATGGGGATAATATTCCCTGCCTGACCCAGTGGTTGTAGGATTCATGGTAATGAAACCCACCCACTGGCTTCCATGGTGCTCTCTCCTGGCTCCCTCCTGCCTCCTGGTCATTCCTGCTCAGACTCTGAATCAGCTCCTCGTCTTTCTGCCCATCCCTAATGCTGGTGTTCCATACAGTTCTGCCCTCATCACTCTCCCTGGGCAATCTCATTCATGACCCCAGCCACAACTCCCCTCTGAGCATTGTGGACTCCCAAGTCTCCCTCCCCAGCCCAGACTTTTCTCCAATTGCCCCCTGGACACCTCCACTTGGATTCTCTCAACATGCCCCAAGTTGAACTCATCATCATTCCCAACATGCCTACTTCCTCCTCCTGTATTGTCCATCTCTAGAACGGAGTTGTCAACCTCCTACTCCCTAAGGTCATAAACTTGGGAGCCATTCTAGATTCACTCCTCTCCTCATCTTAGCCATAACCATGGCCTGTTGGTTCTGTCTGCTCACTAGCTTCCTGAATCGCCCCCATGTCTCCAGCCCCATTGTCCTGGGTTTAGCCACCATCACTCTCTACGTGGTGAACCACTACAGCCTCCCAGCTGGATCCCTGCCTTTAGTCCTGCTCCATCCACCCAGTCTCCAGAAAGCACACAAGGGGATCATTCCAAGATTGAAATTTGATTATGTAAAATCTTTCCATGGCTCCTGGAGCTTTACAGATCAAACTCTGAGCTCCTTGGAACATTCCAAATTTTTTACCAACTCACTCCTGCTCATTTCTCTAATCACATTTTTTGCTACTCCTCCACAGCAGGGAGAATGAACTACCTGCAGTTCTCTTAAATGGTCTGCCATTCACTCCTTCATTCATTCACTCATTCATTCATTCACTTTCTCACTCTGTCCCCTTTCTTTCTTTCTACAAGTTCATTCATCCAGAATGCCATTCCCTCCCACTCTACACGCTCTGCCTGGAGAGCTGCTACTCCCCCTTCCTGCCTTAGCTCAGGCATTCCTACTCTGAGAAACCATCTCTGTCCCATTAGGCTTGGTGGTCATTTGCTCCTCTGTGGGCCCAGAGCACTCTGTGCTTCCCTCTATCATGGCCTGAGTCTACTTGTTTGTTTTCCCCATTGGACTGAGGATAACTTGATCCATCTCTGGGTCTCCAGCTCCCAGAACAAGGCATGACACATATATCAATAAATAGGTATTAAATGTGTGATTAAGTGAATGAATGCTGTGTGAAGCACAAGCACAACGCCTGGCCCACATTGGTTATTCAGTATCTGCTGGTTATTATCACCAACTGCACTAATATCCTGCTAGCCTAGGGCCTAGGTACTGGTTGGGTTCACCATGTTCATTTCTTGAATGGACCGAGGGACTCGCATCTTCATGGTTGACCACCTGGTCACCTGCTAACAGATAAATAAACAGCTCTGCCACTTGTGGACCATTTAGTGTCTCTGTTGCCATGACAACCAAGTTGCATTGACTGCTTGGTTCTGTGCTCCCAAACTTTTAGGACTGGATGGGGGCCCAAGGGATTGCTGATCTTGTTAACCCCTTCCCAGAGAGGCAAAAATCTTTCCCAAATCCAGCACAGCACCCCAAAACCAGCAATCTTGCCTTGGTGTCCCCTGACCATTAGAGGGTCCTGGAGAAACAGCCTATCCGGGGCCAGGTTATGCCTGATGCAGGAAGCTATTCACACCCACTCTGACTCTAGACAGTGAGTAAGAAGGGCAAGATGCTGCAAAGCCTGGGAGAAAAGAGGACGAGCCAGCACTCAGTGCAGGTGGAGCCTGGATCCCAGGGTAGGCAGAGGATAATGGGAAATATGACTGGACTGGGATCCTTAGGGGGCCCTTGAGAGCAGCATAAAGAGTTGAAGGTGCTTCTCAAAATGGGATATGTGTACTCCCAGGGCAGAGGAGTTCTCCTGAGAGTATGAAAAGTGCGGATATGCCTGGTTCTTCTTTCTGGAGTAGCAATTTACTGGAAGATTCAGGGGTGAAGGGAAACATTTTGGATCGGGGGAATCTTAAAAGTTTTTAACACACCCACACTCTCACAAAAGTTCCAGAATCACACTTTTCAATGTTGCATAACTTGTATGTTTTCCTTAAAATCCAGAGAGAGGAAAGAGATTTTGTGTTGGCAGTGGACCCTGCTTCTGGCCAAGCCCGCCCACCTCCCTACCAGGGGTATCAGTGCACTCTCCTCTATGGCTGAAAGGGCTTTGGGGCAGTTGAAGGGCTGCCAGGGGTAGGGGAGGACAGCCATGACCATCTCTAAGGACAACAGCGCAGAATGGTGCTGTGATGTTAGAGCTGGAACGTGGCAGAGGGCAGGGTCTCAAAAATCCCTGCCATGGACTCTTGGCTCTGCAGGGGGCCGCCTGGAGTGAAAGTAGATGTCCCGAGATCAGACAAATGACAGCTTCTTCTTAGAGGGCTAGATCTAAGGTAATGGATGGTAGCAGAGACCTATGTTCACACCCTCAACAGGCCACACCCATGGGGGGCAAAAATGGAAGGGAACAGCCATGGGGCAGGAGGCCTGGGGAGGGGTACTCAGTCCAAACCCTGGGTGGATTTCCCTTCCTCTTCCCTGGCCCCTCTCATCTGTTGTCTAGGACCTCTTTGTCTCTGGGGCCCTTAAAGGGAGCTAAAATCTCACATATAAAAAATGACACTTAAGAAGGATGACTCAATTCAAAGCACTACTGTATAAAGCCCCACTTTACACGGGATCCTAGCAGAGTCAAAATAAATGACAGCTCCCGAGCTCTTTCTAGCCACTGCCCTAGGAGGTACGTGCTATAATTATGCCCACTCTGGATAGTTTCATGAGCAAACTGAGGCCCAAAGACTTAAGCAACTGTCCTAGGCACAGCAGACACTGTTGGTCCTGCTGGATCCCCTCCTCCGGGCTAGTGCACCCAACCCAGCTGCAGCGATGGTGCGCTGCCACCAGCTCCCTCCCTTCTCTGGAGAACTTCCCTCAGCCAAGGGGAGCTTCCTGGCCCTAGAAGGCCATGTTGTGCCCCACATCCCATAGCAGCCAGTGACTGACTCACATGGGTAGAAAACTCCAGCCCTCTTGCTGAAAGGTGGGACCAGCTCTGTGGTGCAGACTGTGCTCCAGAGATCCGGTGAGGCCAGGTTAAACCCATCTCCAGCCAAAAGGCATTCTGGCCTAGCTACCCTCTTGCCTTATCCTGCTTCTCTCCCCTTCTCCTGAGCCCACTCTCAATAAATC